ACCTCCACCGTAGCCTTGGGAGTCGTAGGAGGCGACGAGATGGGAACTCAGTGCCTGGGAGTATAACTGGGCCACCCTGTTCCCGGGGGATATCCGAGACAGTCCTGCAGGATTCGGACCCGAGAATGACTGCGTTGGCGAGGACCAACAGCAGCTGTAAACGACAGACCCGTCCTCTCATCAGAGAGGGTCCCTCACATTAACAAATGCACAACTGTCTGACAGTAATAAAAATCCAGTCTTGGCCCCTAGATGGGGGCTTGACATCATGATAGACTGACAGATTGACCGTCGGTCGTAACATAAATTTGGCTTTGAATTTTTGAGTGAATGAGTGAGCAAGGTTAAGAGGGACAGTAAGGCACTGAACATTCTGAACCTCACACCAACGTAAGGTATGTTACACTAGCTCAAAAGAGCTGAGTCCTCCTTGAGACACTAACAGTCACTCAACTACTCAAGAATATCCCCAGAATTTTACTGAAACCGGAGGTTCATTACCTCACTGGCAACAGCCCGCCACTGTCCCTTATCCCGAGTCATATGAAACAATTTCATGCCTGAAATCCTATTTATTTTAGTTACTTTACAATATTACCCTCCCAGTTATGCCTAGATCTTTCTAGTGGTCTGTTTCCTTCAGGTGGTCCTACCAAGTTTTCTACATGTCCTCCCCTCCCATACGCCCTGATTATATGGAAAAACGAAAACGGACATTCGAGTGAACGGTAATGTAGAAAGCGTATGTGTTTTTAGAGTTCATTTTCTTTAAGTATTCCAGCGGTTTCCTAGCAACGGGGCCCGTTTCCTGAGGGGTGGCATTTGGTTGGTAGGAGGGAAAGTTCTGGGAAACTTGTATAGTAAAATTTAAGTTATTACATCTCAAAATGTCGATAACTTGACTTCGAGCGTTTGTAATATCTTCATAAATATAATTAATTTGTATCAGCGTAAGATGTGTTGATTTCAAGGCTGAAGGCTAACACAACGAAATGAGAGGAACCACCCATCGGCACAGGACACATGGACACACAGACGAGGTCACACCCCACAAACTGAACCTACGGACGGAAGCACAGCAGTTTCAACAGCAATTTCAGAGACACCTGAAGATGACCAATCCTGGCAGAAACACGTAACGTGTGATGTATAAGAGATTTTAAAGTTTAAAACTTTATTAAAGATTTAAAATTCAAGCTGCATGTAATTACTAAGAGGGGTTAAATTAAGAACGAAAAAATTACAAATATGTTTTATACACACGCCAAGAGAAGAAGAGTGAGCGCGGTGAGTTCCTCACTAAGGTGCGGTGAGCTACTGCATAAAGTTTGGGAGCCGCTGTGGTGATACTCCACGGGACTGTGACACTCGTCTGTTTCTCATTACAAAATTACGTCGCATACTGCCAATCGTCTTTACTTCCGAAACGTCGTATAATTTAAATACATCTAATACGATGAACAACGTCCGACACAATAATTTCATAACGAACCGCCGAAATATATGAGTGACAGGGATAGCTCAGTCACTATAGCAACGGACTACGGGATGGACGGCCAGGGTTCGATTCTCGGCAAAGGAAAGGTTTTACTTTTCTGCAAACCGTCCAGAGCGGCTCTGAGGCACACCCAGCCTCCTATACAATGGATACCGGGGCTCTTTCCCCGGGAGTTAAAGCGGCCGGGGAGTGAAACTGAGCGATCAACTCCAGCTAGTGCGGACGTCAAGAATTGTGAAGTAATACTTTCACTTCCTCACACGTCTTCATGGCGTAGTGATTAATTAATTAGGCACGGGGACAGTTTTACGTGTTACCACCGAAATATTCTATGTGTAAAGCCACAAACGCCAATTTAGTGGTGGGGGGGGTCAACCAGCGACGGGCGGAACTGTGAGCCTAACAGAGACACGCTTGGCTTTTCTAATGTATATTCGTGCCAAGTTGCAAAACCGGAAGCACCTGCTTAGCCATAGAAACTGCTGGAGAGACTAAGCATCGCCACTGGAAATCCGATAATGTGGCAGAAAGCTGGCAGGACAAGCAATACTTGATTCGTATTTAGCTACCAATCCTCTCTAAATAAACTCCCTGAAGTCTGTCCATCAACGTGCAATATAACATGCGGACTTAGGAATTGGGCTTGGCTTCGTACAGACTTAAATCACCGAATTCGTTCAAGGAGCATCCAATAGTTGAAAGTACTGAAAGAAGACTTTATGTGTTATTGTTCCAGTAACCTTTTCATGTTTTATAATTATTTGTAGTTAGGACTGGTGAGTTTTCAACAGATGGATTAATCTAATCCAGAACCCATTAATTATTATCCACGTAAGCAATACGTTTCAAGTTTCCTAAAGCGGACGTCACAGAGAACACCAAAAGAAATCGTGAAATTCACCTCACGGCTGTTAAAGCCATGAGCAAGTATTGCTGTAGAGTTTTTTGATGGGATTCGAACCCTCGTTCCCAGTCTGTTTCTGCGTGACAACACATTCGCATAAATAGAAAGCAAACCTCCCCTTCTACCGTTTCCACGAAGCACACATTTCAGATAATACCGGTATTAAAGCGGAACTAGCGAAGGATTAAATTCATAGGAAATTATTATGATATGTGGGGTAGGGGGGAACATGGCATGATTGGGGCTTGTCTGTACCGGAGCTAACCCCCTTCCCTTCCCCTCTCTTGTCCCTTGATGCCTGTAATCCAAGTTCGTTCTGTTTCGTCTGGATCGGAATCTGTCTCCATTTTGCAGCAAGTGGGCGTCACATCTCGTGCGACCCACACCACGGAGCATTTCTGTACGCACATTTTAAGCGGGGAGGGGGGGCACATGGGGTACACAAGCTAGGCATCCGTCCCCCTTTTGATTATCGGGAAAAACACCAAATAAAAAATGCATGAACTATATTGAATATCAACGGAATAAAATTTATATCCTTAGTACCGCATGGTATTGAGTAAGAATTGTCCTTAGCGGCTTAAACCGAAGCTTGTAAACAAGCTTCCTGCCTCCCCACCCCCAGAAAGAAATCCTGGGGGCGCCCATGTATGTAAGCTATGACAACAACTCACGAAGGGTTGAGTACAGAAACATCGTTTTGAGATCTACGCTCCCTTTCCACGAGCAGTTGTGACGCGTCTTGGCGATCCTTTGACTTATATGGAGCTGTTTCCACACAGCCACACGACTGATCAATGGGTCGCCAACATGCGTCACAAACGCTCGTAGAGAGAAAGAGCCTTACTCTTCTGGCATGCATCTTCAGGACAATCCAGTGTACAAACTGTAACCTCTACACTTCCGTGTAACATGGGAAGCCGAACTCCTAGGTGGAGGCCTACATCAGACAGCAGCAACGAACAGGCCGGCCCCGGGGTAACGCTCTACCTTCGTATTCGGAGTATATTCAGTTCGAATCTCGGCTGAGATGCAACTATCTTGATAAAGGATTTTCGTGGGCTTCCGCTCCCCCCCCCCTTCACTCCATCAGTCCATTAGGCCATAACCGCTTTCTTCCAAATCCTCCCCAATTCATGATTCATCAAACGTCTAGTCCAGGTGCTGACAGAGCCAGAAAACAGCCTGCAGAATCTTCAGACAAGGACAAGTAAATCTGAAGAGAATATTACATACAGTTCCATGTCGGCATTCGAAACCGATATCTCTTTGTCGCGAAGAAAGAAGAGACGCTCGCTTTGCTACAATACAATGAACGGGTCCAGTGAAGAGTCTGACACTTGTGATGCATGAAGACCTGTGCCCTCCCTCAGCCAGAGTGACAGCTTCTCAACACTGGATTCAGCTGGCTCCAGGTGATGTCCTCTTGCGTGCTGAACCGGCGGTTTCAGAACTTTACATTAAGACATCCTCCCCGCCCCTCGTCAGCTATTCAAGCATTTCACCTTGTACCTCCCCTCTAAATTAGTGCGTGTAAAGAATAGCCTCTCAACTGCTTAGATTTTAAAATCAACATACTTCATGTTTTTATCGGTTAATGTGTATACATATTTTACAAACACATGAAATTAAACAATTAATCTGCGTTAATCTGAGAATTACGATGAATTTAATTTTACTACATAAATTTCCCAGAATATCCCACGTCCCCCTAACAAAAATAGCCGCCTCTCTGGTGGTGGGATTCCAGAATTTCGAAACGACTCCGTTTAATTAATTAATTCAGGCTGGAAGTAAGAGGATAAAGGATATCATTATCAGAACGATAGAGCGTACACGCACGAAGATATTACAAGGCCCGTGAGTGCACAGTATTCTCATGTGACTTTGCAAACAACATACATCCAAACACGGAGACGTCCTACGGTCATGCGGCCGCCTCTTATTCTGACGCAATACTTTCCTTATGGTGTTATAGTGACGCCATGAAAAGAAGTCCCACGGATCGATTCCATCACCCCCGGACATCCCCCTCGAATAGTCAAGAAATTCTGTTCTCATCGTCCCTCAAATACCTCAGAAGACGCATCGTACCCCCAGCAGGCAAGGTCTTGTGTGCTCGAGGTTTCTGATAGGGGAATTCCTTCCCACTTTATGTTGAAAGTTGTATTTCGTAACTTTCTGGGGTACGCGTAGTTTGTCGAGGCACTCTGTTACAAGCCAGAAGGTCGCGGGTTCGAATCCCGATGAGGTGGATATTTTTAATTGACCTAATCCTTCCAGCCCCTTTATGGCCCTGGGGTCGACTCAGCCTCTAACAGAAAGTAGTAGCAGGAATCTTCCTGGGGTAAAGGTGTGCCCGGCGCGTAAGACTGATAACCTCAGTGCCATCTGTGAGCCGACTGTACAGAAAATGTGGAGGCCTCGACGTCTCACAACCCTATGGGCCTGCACGGCCTGTTACAGGGATAGGTTTACCTAGTACTGATGCCTCGTGGCTGTTACGCTGATAGTTGCAGCTAGACTGCAAGACAACACCTGCTGTCTCTATATTCATTCTTCAGAGGGTTAAGTTAATTATTGTTTAAAACAAATTACCTGGACTTCTTACGCCTCCGCGGATAGTTTCCCAAAAACACACAAGGAGCGCTGCAGACGCTGTCCTTACAAAGCCGGTCGGATTACACAGGGTCTGAAACAGACAAACATCCAAGGGAATTATGGTAGGGCATTTTCCTCTGATGNGATTACGCTCATAATCCTCTAACAAATTTCATTGAAGCGCTTCCTAGTGAATATATCCTTAATTAATTTGAAATTCATAAGACGGGACGTGGGCAAAATTATTATTTTTTTTCATCACAGCGTTTTTGGAAGGAATCAGTACTGCTTAACAAACTAGCACTCTTTATTTAAACTAAGGGACATAAAAATATCTGTAACTCATATTAAACGAATTTAATTGCTTAAAATTCTTGGGTAGACCCCTAATTTCAAACTATTGTGTGAAGTTCTAATTCCGGAAAAGAAAAAGATAAGTTTCTTGCATTACTCGCCCGCTTCCAAGCCTGAAATTCACCTAAATATTTCTAAATTAGTCCCTACTGCAGAAAGAATACAATACGTCGTCATATCGTGGTATACATTCTTATTTAAGAGTAACAATGACACATGAAGCTAAACTCAGACAGAAACCTGAAAACAGATGTTAAATTGTTAATTTTTTACATATACGAGTATATACAAACTTCTAAGTATGTGTTACGAACTTTGCAAGAGTAGTTCTTGAGCATGTTGATCTTATGTCTTCTGAAAATGGTCAACTGACCGAGATATATAAAGGCAATAATCTACAAACTGAATCACACTGGACGGTGTTAATAATTATTCTATAATTTACTTTACTAGTGTGACGGGACAGAATAAATATACTTAGTTTTATTTATTTATTATAAAGTGATTTGACAACAACTTCCAGTGCGGCTTAGTATATATTCGTTTATACTGTATATTGCCTTTACATGTTACGGTCAGTTGTGACCATCTTCAGAAGGCATGACAACAAGTTTAGGAAACTGCTGTTACATTGATCGTAATACATATGCNTAAGTTTGACTATAATGTAATTCATTCATCTGCACTGTGCTGTGTCTGTAATTGGCCTTGCGGCTGTTGACTCGGCACATTAATAATAAAGAATTGAATTGAATTGAATATTTAACATCTTGAACCGCTGAGGTTTGTGTCTTCGTGCATCTTCTGTCAGAATAGGAGACTGGGGTGTTATTTGCCGTCCTGAGGCCCAGGCAGCGTTATTCCCCCTTTTTGTGTGAGGTTCGTTAAGGGTCTGTGTTGCTAAGTTGTTTCTCCTTTCGTTGTGTATTTAGACATTTATTTGGGAACTGAAATAAAGCTCTGAACGAAAAGTTATGGAGAGATCAATATAAGAGCATATAACACAGCTCTGAATTTTATCAATTATACAAGGAATATTATGGAACTGAGAAACCTCTAACAGTGGAACAGAAACCTGTACTGCATACATCACACAGATAATAACACACAACGCCTGAACATGGACCCATGCAACAAAACTCGGTGGCTTTCAGTCCGCAAGCGAACTATACCGACCGAGCGACCGCCGCTTATTGGCGAAGTTAGTGCAACACATTCAAAGAAAAACAAAAGAAACAGAGAGTTTCCTCTGATAGGCCGTGGAGGGCCATAGGATTGTGAGCCGTCGAGGCTCCCACATTATCTAGACAATCGGCTCACAGATGGCGGTGAGTTTGTCAGCCTTCGCGCCGACCGCCCTTTACCCCCAGAAAGATTCCTGGTACCAATTTCTGTTAGAGGCTGAGTCGACTCCAGGGCCATAGTGTCACTGGAAGGATTAGGTCAATTGGAAAAAAAAAGAATGATATCGGGAATCGAACCCGCGATCTTCCGGCTTGTAGCATAGTGCCTCAACCAAGTACGCTACCGCGTACCACATTACGTCAATCAGAAAACTACAAAACAAGAATAAAGCTTACAATCGAGCAGGATAGCGTAGCGGTATTGTTCTCGTGTTGTCTCCTTCCAAGCCTCGGCTGTTATTGCGGCTGTTCTGAGGTATTTCCTGGGTTTTCTCAGCCTCTCCACGCAAATGCCTGGGCACTCAGTATCTCTACTAAGCCATGACTGCTTCCTTCCAGATATTTTCCAATTCATGATTCATCCTACCAGTCGACAATATATAGCCTAGCTCTGACATAGTCGAAAAAATAGGCCCCAAAGAATCGAAGAAGAAAGGAGGGGTCGACTCTGAACCACACCGAACACTGTATCATAAATTAAGGCTTATGTGAAATGCATAAGAATTCGCAATGCTAGGACCGCAGGCAAAACTGCGCAAAGAAAGAAAAATGATCGTGTTATGTTTTGTTTCCAGGAGTCCTGCAATAGGCAACGGATGGGACTTTAATCTGAGCTGCAGAAATTTGTCACTAAGACAAGCAGAAAGGAAGAAGTTGAATGACGAAGTAAAAAAGGGCTCAGAGATAAATTGTGAAGGCAGGATTTGGTGGCCACGTGACGTGTCGTGGGATATCCCAGATGTGGCAGGCGTCAGTCTGTCCGTCCCTACTCGCAATACAAATTGCTTTACGCTCTGGAGCCAGCCGGAAACTATACGCCACAACAGTGGATAAATCAAAACAGACATTCAACTATTGTCAGAGCTGAGGTTCTCACAGCGATGTCTTCTGGGATGTGACGCCGTATAGCCCGTTAAAAGTCCACGGACGTCTGGGAGGAAAGTACTGCCTCCATCTTCAATGTAAAAATATGCTAAGCAAGCTGATTCGGCTTGACAAAGATGTAAATGGTAGGATAATATTAAAATGAATCAGAAGTAAGGTGTGGACTGGATTAATCTGGCACAGGATAGGGTTAAGTGGCGGGCTATAGTGAACACGTTAAAAAATTGTTTCCATAAAACGTGCGAAAGTTCTCGAAATGTTTTCTGAGCAATTCTTTGCAATGTGACTAGTGACTGAGCTAACAGCCAGCGTCTGGTGTTCTGTAGACACAAAGCCTGATTTCCTATATATATTAATTTCGAAGTTCTTCAAGCATTTCTGAAGGCTTTCTTCTTCTTCACAGCGCATTTTCTCTGTTGCTTTTCTTTCAAGGAAACTCCTCCTAATTCATTTCTCCACTTAACCAGGATTCGAATGACAAATTGACTGTTTCTGGGAAGGAGTGACCTTTTATTGAATTCCATCTCCCGCTGTTGCAGGCTCCTCTAAAGAGCCCGGCCGCGGGGCAGTTGCTCTTGTAATCTAGAAGAATTGCATTCTCCGTTCTGGATCACTTTTCTTGGATCGAAAGACTCCTGACACAAACACAATAACTTTATCAAACTTTAAACTCTTGTACTTCAGCTGACTGAAACACAGACATAAGAGACCACTAGCAAAACATTTTTTTTCCCCTTGGCACTACAGCCCCAGTGGGCCTAGGCCTACCTCCATGAACTTCTCCGTTCACTTCGAGCAAAACAATTATTCCTACCTAATTACAGCCAACTAAACAACTGACTGCCCATCACAATGGTCGCACGATCTAAGGCATGAACTGTTTCGCCCGCTCAAACTCTGGGGATCGTTGGTTCGAATCCCATTTGAGGCACGGATGTCTGTGTTCGTCTATTGTGTTTGTGTTGTCTTGTGTGCAGGTAGCGGCCTTACGACAGGCTAATCCCCATCCAAGGAGTTTTACCGAATGTGTAAAAGATCAAGGAATTGAAAAGTATCCAAGGTCCAACAAAGGGCTGTAGGCTATAGATAGGTAGGTAGATGGGTAGGTAGGTGAGTAGGTGGGTGGGTAGGTAGGTAGGTAGGTACTGACTAACCAAGAACGCAACCAACTAATCTCTTAAATGATAACTCATTATTTTACTAATTAACTGATTAATTACGTGACTAACCAACCAACTTAAGTGATTAAATCCATGGAGACACAAGTCCTTCCTGAGAAACTAAAGGTTGCTAAAGTCATACTACAGACTTCTGGGTTTCAACGCCATATGTGCAGATAGACTTCACCTCTTCCATCTGAAGACTGAAGCTTTAACACAATTCAAGATAGAGAATGTTAAATTATCAATTTCTTAAGGAGAACTTGGCTGCGCGGTTATGACAAGTCCAGTGCGAATACAGACGTTTATTTTGTATCTACCCACTTCTGTGAAGCTTAGTTTAAAGAAACAAGTGTACCGTCCGCTGAGAATTCAAAAGGAAGTCTCCATCATTTGTTACATAAGCTTTCTCTGGTAATTATATGTACCACTGTCGTGTGAACGTCATATATGATTCTCTAACTGTCGCTGTATCCTGCAGTGTGTAAGGGACGCGCTTTCTGACTCACTGAACTAACATTGTGCGCACCTTCATGTACAGAACGGACCACTTGAATCCAGTGTCGCAACTGACAGCTCATTGTTTCATTATGTTCACTGGAGTAACCTGACCTGAAGGGCATTAGCACGGATTAGCGTCGGGCGCCGAGACATTTCTGTGAGCTGCTTTACGACGCTGTTAGTATGAAGAAAATATGGAGTCAAATGGTGGAACGATTGAGGAATGATTAACTGAACAGGATGCGGAAGGAAGCGGTCGTGGCCTACTATGCCAAAATTTACCTGAAAGAACTGAGAACCACGAATATTCCCTATCAGGAGGCTCGGTAACACGGCCGGCACGGACAACACGGAAAACACAGCTCTTCTATTGTTGCGTTCGGATCTGTTGCTGCGGGAATGTGTTTACAGAGCCGTTACCCAGAAACGGTCCCGGTATATCTGCCCCACAAACGGCCCTGGTATATCTGCCTATCTCGTGGTCACTGCACAGCAACGGCTCTACACGCTACAATATCATCACCCTCTGGTGACTATTTAACCAAAGGAGCCAGTGATCTCTGCCCTAAAATGACCATGTTATACAGTCGTATTCATTATAGGCCACACGCTCATCGGCACATAAACCAGAAATCAACTTGATTGTCGGGGTCCTTATGTTACCGACGTGAAACAGGTTTGGTAAATTCGTTACAAGACTGTATGGGGGTGGGGCACAGGCACGCAACACCCTCTGCTACCAGGCAAGTGGTAGCTAAATCTCGCCCATCGGTGGTCAGAAGTGCAGC